GGCAATTATTGGATTGTAATATAAATGACTTTTCCAAAAACAATCTTTTAGATGTATTTCTTTCAGTTGATAAAATTTTTGTTGAATTATAGTCCATTTTATGACCTTCTTTGGAAACATAATTACTGAGAGCACATCTCTCATGATGTAATCTACTATCACTTTTATGTGAGCTGATTCTGTCTTTGAGTAATCTTGACGTTTGACCAATATATTCACTACCACAATTTAAACATGGAATGGAATAGATTAATTGAGATTGAAGGTTAATTGGAGTTTTATCTTTGAGTTTAGAAAATAATTTATTAATGGTGAAAATGGTTCTAAAAGCTATTTTTACATTTAAATCTTTGAATATTCTGCATAACTTGGGTGTCAATGGTCGAACGTCAATGGTAGACGTACTAAGATCTTTTTAAGTAGAGGATCCGAATAATTGAAAAAGTATATTTAAATTTTTTTATTATGAAAAGAAGGATCGGAAATCTGCAGAATGCGATTATTCATTTGTTTGACCAAATTGATTTTCGTTGACTGCTTATGGTATGACCAATAGTTCAAGAACCTACTAGAACTGATAGGCTTGCGATACCAATCTATGAGTAGATTATTATCTGGTGTTCTGATAACCTTTGTATCAAGGAAAGGAACCCATTGTTTGTTGTTCTCAGTTTCAATGGTGAACTGTATATAAGGGTCATAACTGTTGAAGATGTCCACAATCTCAGATATTCCATCTTGAGGAAGGGATATTATAATGTCATCGACATATTTTTTATGAAGAAATTATTGAAGGAAAGTACGTGTGAAACCAAATCTAGCAGGTCATCCATGACATATGTTGCTAAAATGGGGCTAATCCTAACTCCCATTGGAGTACCAAAAGTTTGTTTATGAATTTTACCATCAAATGAAAAATATGTATTATTGAAAAGAAAAGTAATGAGTTGGAGGAAATTGTCTTTTTGAATGTCACAAAATTGACTAATACTTCCCTACTTTCTATCAATAGATCTGAGCTAGCGATGTCTAAATAGACATCGCTAGCAATTACATAATTGTTAGGTAGTTTCATTTTATTGAATGTACANATTTTTCAAGGAATTCTTCGAATTATTTTTATTTCCATATTTTATTTCGTAAGAAAGTGACCTTTGAAACCGCAGAAAGTAGGGATTTGCCACAAAGTTTTTCACTTCACATTATCAGGCGAGTTCATAAAATATATTTACTCAAATGAAAGCTTACCTTGATATAAAAAATAACATATGGTATTCACTGCAGTTAAAAATGGATACAGTTACTGGAAAAATTCTATTAGGTTTATACTTTTTTCATGAAATGAGAAATAAACCTTGCAGGTAGAAAATGTTGCAGGTCGAGTCTGACAAAGATGGATTTAAGAAAAGAAAACCCTATACATATCCTCATACATTTCAAAATTTTAAATAAGTAACTTTCATTTATCCAGTAGGTAAGGGCATTTTTTGTTGAATTATATTTGTTATTTTAGTCAAGTTTATTGAAAATATTTGATTTTAATCAAATCAATGTTGCATCAATTCATTTATTTTTCTTTGCGTCAACAAGGTGTTACGATATTCATCTCTCGTGATCTTGATAAGGAAATCAAGAACGAAAATTGCCTCATTATGACAAAAAATGTAATTTCACAAAATTTTATTGACTTGTCAAAGAATACTGAAATGAAGGGTTAAATATTTCAAAATTTAGTTTAATTTTTTTTTTGTTTTTGAACAAAATACAGCGTATTGAATTTTTCCAGACTTTCATCAAACAGATAGATGAGATAATAATAATACAAGTTATCAGTTGATTGACCATCGGTTGTTCATTGTTTATGCACATACTAAAAAAATGAGTACTCTTCTTGACGTATCAACTAAATCTGTTTCAGTTGATACATCAAGAAGAGTACTTCGACCACGTCACTGAAGATGACTGCCGCAGTAGCAGTTGAAACGGTCGGAAATAGTAACCAAAGAAAACCACGGCATAACCCGGAAACCAACCAACACATCAATGCCAGCCTCCATTCCTATAGAAGTATAATAAAGTACGAACTGGATAAGGTTCTCGATAAGTTACTGTGTAATGCGTAAACAATAAGTTAATTCAGTCAGTATCTTTTTGTATTCATAAATCTTGCCTATACTAATTCAATAATCAATTTAAAAAAAAATAAATTTGTGTTCTGCATTTTTTTATGTTTACTGGAATAGCCCAAAACACTTTAAAATCAACTGGTGATCACGCAATAAAACGGAGTGAAATAAAAATTGTCATGAAAGAACCTGACGAAAAAATGAGAAAACTCAAAGAATCCGCATGTATTCTTCTAGAAAGTAATAAGTGTAATTTCAACATGTGGAAATGCATGGTACCATTGCAAAGGCGAGAGGTTGAAGACCGAAGTGTGAACAGGAAAATAAATATTGCTGCTTGTTCAGAATTGATTTTCTCTATTTATTGCTCAAACTTGTAATTATTTTTTTAAAATATTTGTTTATTGATCAGATATAGTCATATTGACTTCAGTTCAGAATCAGGCGTTTCTATTAAAAACGCATTTACAAAGATATATAATAATGTCTAGACGAGAAAAGAGTTGCCAGTTTTGAAATTTGCAAACACAATCACAGTACATTAAAATCTTTACTTATAATTTTTATGAAATTTCCCAACTGACATTAAACATAAATGGGATTTACAAATTAAGAGCTGTTTGGAGATTTCTCAAATTTTAAAATCTCTAATCTGACTCATTTCAAGAAATTTTCATATAACTTAATCAGAATTAGTTAATCAAGAGTCTTTTGATATGATATTAATACAGCCAGCCCTATTAGTTGCATTCAAAAATTCTACTTCTCACAGGGGTCCTTAGAAGCGGACGCTGAACAGGTAATTCAGTCTTCCAAATTTTTTGTGAACACTTTGCAATCACATAGTTACAAGAATCACAGTAAACGTCTACAAGGAGAAAATGAATGATCACTAGTATATAATCATGTGAAATCAATGTAAGAAATTATTTGCAGAATCTAATGAAAATTTACACACTTTCTAAAGGTTTGTGGTCCTTCGAAAAATAGCCAAAATAGCTATGAGGACACAATTACATTTTTTCTTAAACCAAATTAGATGCAGAAATAATGAGTAACCACTGCAGTGAGTGTCACATTTATTTTACTTAATTTTGATCAGTGACTTAACTACGTTTTAAAGAGAGCTACGCGTTTGCAATTCAAATTTATGGAGATTCATTTGGAAGAATGGACTCGGGAAGTTTATTCGTCAAAGATACCGTTCTACGAATTGAAGAATTCATAGAAAGTGTAGTTTGAGATGTTTCGAGGATACGTATTGAGGTAGACCTCAAACTGATGTGCAACTACAATTACTGATGAGGGTTTATTATGTTGAAACATTTTAAATATTTAAAAATATGTCCCGCAATTCATACCTTGACTGATCTCTTGTTTTATTCAAAGAAATCTACACTGAATCTAATGATAATAATGATGTATTTTTCTTGATATTGCATTTTAATTCGTTATGAAATTGGCTGATACTTGATGAAAATCCATGATAAATTAAAGTAATGCTTTATTGTGAGAATATGTGTTGTACCCAAATATTTTGAAATAATTGAGTACAATTGATTCGAACTAATTTTTATTTTTAATGTTATGAAAAGTTTTTCACTTCACATTATCAGGCGAGTTCATAAAATATATTTACTCAAATGAAAGCTTACCTTGATATAAAAAATAACATATGGTATTCACTGCAGTTAAAAATGGATACAGTTACTGGAAAAATTCTATTAGGTTTATACTTTTTTCATGAAATGAGAAATAAACCTTGCAGGTAGAAAATGTTGCAGGTCGAGTCTGACAAAGATGGATTTAAGAAAAGAAAACCCTATACATATCCTCATACATTTCAAAATTTTAAATAAGTAACTTTCATTTATCCAGTAGGTAAGGGCATTTTTTGTTGAATTATATTTGTTATTTTGGTCAAGTTTATTGAAAATATTTGATTTTAATCAAATCAATGTTGCATCCTTAGCAAGTCATGTAATAATTTTCTATGAATTTGTTTGAATTCCTTTTGATAAATACGTTTTCATTCAGGTAAGTATACCTTTTTTACAATCTTAGAAATCAATTTACATATCAGTATCAATATTATTGAATAACTATTTTTTTTGATAATTGTTGAAATTGATCTATGGTTTAGTAATTATGTATTTACTATCATGCAAAATATCTACGAGTAATAAACTCATGTGAGCAACAAAAGATGTAATTTTGATGAGTTATAAAGGCAAGAGAAGTTTAATGAGTAAATTTCTATTTCGATGTGGGAATCAACAAATTACCAGAATATATAAAATGTTAACCGTTATAACAGGAATGGTAAAACACTTCAGTAAAAAAAATTTCAACATATTGTTTAGTAATTAATAAAAAACTAGAAAACGTTTTCCTAAAAATTAAAATATAATATGTAAAAACTCTAATTAATTCATTCAATGTGTGAATATTACTGGAGTTTTTTCCACCACCAAACCGTTAATTTATTACCCCGACACATGTTTCGATCACCAAGTGACCATCTTCAAGAGGAAGATTAATTTCTTCTTGAAGATGGTCACGTGTCGAGGTGTTAAAATAAAAAATATTAGTCTACTGTTGGTAAAAAACTCCAGTAATATTCATTACTACACCAAAAGTTCCAAACAGTGCATCACAAGTAGATTAAATGTGTATTTATTAAGAGCAAGGTATCTACAACCCATTCAAAATTGTATTAATCAAATTATTTTAAAATTTATTAGGTATTTCTTTGTTATTTTATTATGATAATAGATTTTTGGGATTTACTTTCATAAGGCTACTAGATGATTTTATTTAAAAAAATTCAAAAATTGAGTTTTTCATGTAAGAAAACAAAATATACTCACCTACCTAATTTGTTTCTATTCTCTTCTAATTTGTCAGTTTCATAACAAACAAAAATCGGCCTATTTAGCTCAGAAGCGAAGTCTTCAAACGTTATTAAAATCCCAAATGCAAATCTCAAGTTTTTTAGTCTTCATTCGGTTTAACAACTTCTGAACATTCACTCACGCACTACACAGAAATACCAAACACAACTAAAATGTAAACAGAAGAATTAAACCAAGCTTTTCATAAATAACGTCCTGTTGGCAGTTGTTTCTCTCCATTTCATTATGACATACATTTACCATCTCTTCCTGTATTGTTTGTTGTCTACCTATAATGAAATCCACTCTTCATGTTGACATCATTTCCACAGATGTCACGTCAGTCTTTCTATGTAGAAAAGAACGTTCAGTAGTTCAGTACGTCAACATTCATTCATATCAAAATAGCTACTCATCGGTTTTCGTTTTCGTACGTTATCATATGAGGCATCTCGATTGGCGTTTGGAATCATCAGCGCTTGATGTTAAACTGACAACAATTTGTAAATTAGATATATTTTTGAGCACAGCTAGCTGGTTGATTACCTTCTATTTGGTTGTTTCAAAGGTTTTTTCCTTTTTTATGAGTCCATTTTAAACTGTAATACTGGTATCTCAGTATTGTCAGCTCGAGATTCGATGAAGTAGACAAAGACCGTTTTTGCCTGGTCCTGATTGGCGAAGGTTCTCCAATGAGAAAGATATCGAATTGCTTTCGGACGGTAGTTTGTGGAACGTGTGAAACGTGCTGACGCAATGTTTGGTACATATCGTCGATTTTTACTTGAATAGAACTGGCCGATACTTGATGAAAATCCATATAAAAACTAATTAATACAGTTTATTCATAAAGAGTTTTACAAAACCCGCGATACGTGTTTCGCTATACAATAGTTCTCTCAAGCGTGAACTAGTTTATGCAAAAATTTCTATCGATCGGTAAAATCGTGGAGCACCCAATTTTTGATCTCTTTAACCTTTCCAATTCGTTTTAAACCACCAAAAACCGCATAAGAGCTGAAGTCCAGTTCTTTCACCATCACAGGCGCCGTTTGTGTCTGCACCAGGATCATGAAATCCTCGTTTTGATTACTGTAGGTCGAACACTTCAGGTCTCATCTTCCAGACTAAATCCTCAGTGACATAATATAGTAGTAATCTGAAAAGAGGCAAAAAAATATAATGATTTTTATCGATCACGACATAGTAAAATAGATATTTATTCAGATATGGATCTACAAAAACACATGACATTGAAACGGACAAAACTTTTTTAACAACCCAATTATTATTGTTGTTAGACATCAACAATTGTATCAAAAACACAATTGCTTCAAAAATTGGTCTTGGTTTACATCAAACGATATTGATAACAACAGCCAATCGAAAACATCCATAGTTTTCCATTAGAATATATATTTTCACAGATTTTCATTTCTCATCATCGTTTACTTGTGGATTATTTTTGTACACCGAAATCTTCACTAACACAAAGTTTTGAACACCTTGTGAATTGGCGCAGTAGTGGTGCGCCCGACTCACGACCTAAAGGTCATGAGTTGAATCCCAGATATTTTTCTCTAGATAATTTATCTTGTTGAAGCTGTGATTATTCTGCAACGTTACTTGGCTGACGGACTGCGGATAGCCATTGTGCTCCCTAGGTTGCTCGGGAAGTTAAAAGTTATAAACATTGTCTACCCAAGGTTAATTACCAATATAGTCGACGCCGATGACACTCAAAAAACTGACGAACACGGAAAATTTATTGACTATTTCGATATCGAGAGTGATTCTGTTCCTTTCCATAAGTTTTCTCAACCTAAAACTGTCCATCTTTTTCGGAAATGTTTTGATCTTCCAGTTTTAGTTAAATCTACGTCTGATGTAGATTATGTAATGTATATCATCAATGATTCCAAAATGGAGATGATTCATGGAGTTGAATAAAATGAATAATCTTAGAATCAACATTTTCAATCGTTTCGCTTTTTCGTTACTCGCCTGCTCGTGGCAGATGTTTGTCTTTATACAAGTGAACAGATCTTAGCCACAGAACATCACATTTATCTATCTGTACAAAAAATTCTGTTTTGTGGTTCCGTGTCAAAAGTAATAATAACCAACCTCAAATAATGAGGTTTGTTCTGGTTCTAACACCCGAAACTGTTTCGAAACTGCGCAAGACATGGTGCGTACAAGCAAAAAATCTAAACAGTCCGAAATAATCTCGGACACTTGTTTACTATAGATCATGTTCATTTTGTTATGTAGCGTATCCTATAGTCAGTTCAAATGTCATCTACCCTCAATAATCAATCAATTATTCAAATCAAATAAATAAAAAAACATCCTAGCAAATAGCCCAAACAAATTTCCACATGAATGCGCATGAGCAACGGGAACAGTTCTCAACAGTTCAGCCTCGAGAGCAAGAATGATTCGGGACGGCTCAAAACAGTTTAGGATCAGGATCATTTCGCAGTCGAAACCAGAACAGAGGATTCATCAGTCTGAAATTATCCTCAATAAACCAGAACGCTCTATATCAACTGCGCATGATCCTGACGTCCATGAACCTGAATTTCGTAGAACCAGAACAAACCTGTTATAAATAATGAACTCACAAAGAGCCATAGAAATTGTAGTACATATATATCATGTTATTTGCAGTACATACTTGATAGCTAAATCAGATTTTATCTTTTCGAAAATAGTAAACAGTGGTGTAATTTGAAATTGAACATATTTCAAAAATCGTCATGGGACGCAGGTATTATTGTGATTATTGTGACAAAAACTTCATAGATGATCTAGAAGCTAGAAGAAAACATTTACAAAGTTCTCATCACATAAAACTGAGAAATATGCATTATGAAGCCTGTAGAGGTTTGTATATGAAATCTGTAAATATGCATGCTATTCACATAATAATTTTATTCAAATTGATAGAGGAATATTTTTCGGAGAGATTAATTTTTGGGATTGGGAGGTTTTGGCTTTCTACTTCTCCATTTTCATACATAAAAAATGTGGAATCTTCCAAAGAAGGGTAGAAAGCAATTTATTTCATAATGAACTCTATACAAATATGTGTAGTTCATGCAAAGAAGTAACATTCAGACATAAACTGGTAGAAAAAGCTCTCTTGAGATAAGTACTTTCATATAAACATTGAATTATACTAAAACAAATTGTATCAGATACCGTTCACAGGATTGCTATACAATATAGTGTATGAAGGAGGTAAAATTTCACTTACGTAGAACACTGTCATCCTCAAAGGGAGACATTCAATGTTTTGGAATACTACATTTGCCACTCCAGCACTAATTTCAAGTTTTTTAGACTTTATTCGGAATTGAATGCTTCATCTCATAATGTTATTCAGGTTGGTGCTGAAGAGGTAATAAGGAGGATGACAATGTTTCATGTAAATTAAATTTTACCTCTTTCATACACTATATTGTGTTGCAATTCTGTGGTTGAGTGGAAGAACAAACCTGTAGTGTTCTAACCTGCAGTTTTGAACTTTGTTTTTTTTTTTCGTTATATTCTATTTCACCCAATTTAGACCATATTATTATTATTATAGAAGTTGTTGTTTCTAAACTATTTTTTCTTTCCTGTAATTCAATGTTTATATGGAAGTAGTTGTTTCAAGGGGTTACTTTTTTGCATGAACTACATATTATCTTTTTATAGAGTTTATTCTAAAATGAATTGCATTCTTTCTGCAGAAGATTCCCACATATATAAAGAAGTACAAAGATGAAAAAGTAGAAAGCCAAAATCTTACTTTCTAAAATAGTTTTATTTTTTCAGAACCAGAAACAGTGTTGAAGGAAGAATTGTTAAAAACTCCTTGCAGAAGATTCTTTCAATATGAAGGGGGTTGTCCGTTTGAGGGAATTTGTCGGTATACACATTATTCTCCCGAAGAACTTTGTGAACTTAGACAACAAGGTATGTATAGTATGTATGTCGTACTGAAATAAAACATATTATAAAAGAGGAGGACACCATATCATTCGAAAAAGATTCATCGGGTTTATCTGATGGTGAAACACCATAATTTTTGCTTATACCTAACCTAACCTAGCCATACCTACCTAACCTAACCTAGTCATACCTATTTATTATTATGTAAATATTACATAATAATAAAGTCAAAATGTTATCTTAAAAAAAATGTTTTTTCCGTTAACCAGCTATCGCACCCCTACGAATGACAACCCTCAGAAGTCGAAACTTGTGCGAGCTAAGGACTTTTAACGTGTAATTCGTAACACGAGTTGGACGATAGCAAGTGAAAATCGATCGTTCAGCCTGGGGATTGAACCATCGAATCACACATCGGCCGATTGACTGAGTGAACAAAGCACCCACGTTGAACCGCCCGGCTACCGACCGGGACCAGTTTATATTGTTATAACAATTTTAATTGTTATAACAATATAAACTGTGTATAAATAAATAAATTAACAAAGTTATAAGTTTTAACAATTATTTTCAATCAAATACCCAATCACATGCCACTGCAGGTATAAAACGACCCAAAAGCTCATAAAATCTTTTGTTCGCGATACAAATACTGTAGACCCGATGAAGTATTAAAAACACTCCTATAACGGCTGTGGCAAATCGTAAGGGAAGTGCAAAATTTTGTTTGAGCACTCTGTTATAGTTTTGCATTTATGACGAGCATTTATTACTTTTTACTATTATGAAACAGAGTATAAAGCCATATATTACAGATTCGTCAAAAAAATTAAGTAGAAAAGATAAAAAAACACAGAAAATACTAATTGACCTGCATAAGCATTTCTGTAATTTTCTGTAATAGAGAACACTTTGGACGAAAATATTGTATCAGAATATTGAAATGTTTAGTGTTGCCAAGCTTGCATGCGATTATTTGTTGGTTGGTTTGATTTGAAAATCTCAAACTGTGACTGAAACGTATCTTTCGATCTAAATTCACGGTTGATTGTTTTCATTAGCTGACCGGCATACCTGAACGTGAACCTTCAGAAATAGTGAGGTTTGTCACAGGTAGGTGAACCCTTGAGTAACTATTGAATCCACTTCCGAAAACTTCGGTATTTTAAACTGTTTTTTGCGTTCTCATCTTTTGTCCCACTAGTTTCAATGAGTAGTTCAGGAATATTTCAAAAAAGAATGGTTTGTATTAATTCATACAACATTCTGCATGTAGGTAAAAATAATGTGATTTCATTTCAAATTAATTCAAACTATTGTAAAAGTATTCAAATCTATATTGGGTTAACATTTTTGAATAATTTTCTGATTTGTTTTCACCGATAGAATAAAAGTTTGTATTTCCCACACAAATCCTCTACAAAATGAAGAAATTTGAAAAACTTCCTTGTGAAATATATTTTTATTATTCAGACATTTATTTATAATATTGTAGAAATATTGTAAATTCCACATTTTGTTTAAATTTTCAAATTAACTTCTGACTTGGAGAATAGTAGATTTTCTAATTTTTTTAACGATTCAAAGAATAGGATTATTTGAAAGGTTGAGAAATCATAATTGTATGAGGACTCCTCGAAGGACTAGAATGAAGATGATCTTATTTAGCTCTATCAACGCATCATTTACAACTTTGAGATGAATAAAAGAATACAACTAGTTTATACCCAGAAAAAATTGTAATTTTGGAATCGTGTAGGTAATTTTCAATCGTAAGTAATCATTATTTTTAAATGTAAAAAAAAATTCGATGCAAAATGAAAATCTCTTTTAGGTCAACATAAAATTGTTTACTTTTTACTCAAGAGAAAAGAGAAACTACCAATCGGATGTTTAATATACGTTAATGACAGATTGGGTTCAAATAGAACACAACTAAAAGTATAGAATGTGAATGACCCTCTGATCGAATAACAACCTTCAGCTATTCGCAGTTTAATACATGACTAGATAACAAANCACAGATGTCACGTCAGTCTTTCTATGTAGAAAAGAACGTTCAGTAGTTCAGTACGTCAACATTCATTCATATCAAAATAGCTACTCATCGGTTTTCGTTTTCGTACGTTATCATATGAGGCATCTCGATTGGCGTTTGGAATCATCAGCGCCTGATGTTAAACTGACAACAATTTGTAAATTAGATATATTTTTGAGCACAGCTAGCTGGTTGATTACCTTCTATTTGGTTGTTTCAAAGGTTTTTTCCTTTTTTATGAGTCCATTTTAAAGTGTAATACGGCAACGCTGACCGCTACGCGTGTTTTACTATACAAAACTTTTTGTTGGACAAATGCATTTTTCTACGTCGATTTCAGGCCAACTCTCGTATATAAAAGAGGTTTTATTTCACTTACATGGAACACTATAATATACTACAATTCTATACTATACTATACTATACTATAATATTTCTGACAGGGTGTAAACTTTTCGTTATTTTTCAAGTCACAAACGTAAAACCTTGAAAACTAGCAGTTACATAGAAATACAGATTAAAAAACAATTAAACTCATGTTGAAATTACGTAAGACTTCACAAATAACACATGAGTTCAATGAATAATTCGCATGTGGGTTTTATTATTGTCGAGTGTAGGCCAAATACTATGTGTTGCTTATTTACAAGTGAACGATTTTTCAAATGAAAATTTGAAAGAATTGAAAATGTGACACCAGTATTGTAGTTGTATAAGTCATACTCTACGTAATCAATCCGTTTGAGGGAATTTGTCGGTATACACATTATTCTCCCGAAGAACTTTGTGAACTTAGACAACAAGGTATGTATAGTATGTATGTCGTACTGAGTACCCACTCATTCTAGTATGTCAAAGTTAGTAAACTGTTTTCAATAACATTTATTTGTTATTTGATATTTGGAAATTGATATTTGTTTTTATTCTGGACTTCCAATGTATTAGTTTCTCAAAAAAAATTGAACATGAACATACTTTCGGTTATTTATAATTATGGAATGAGTTTTCTGTCTAGAGACTTCGTCAGGACGCTAAAATGAAATACAATAGAAAATAACTAAAAAAATGGATAATACTTACAAGTANAGGGGCATTGCCGAAAAAAATATCTAAGTGACTTTGTGGATGAATTGCAGTGCCATTTGCTTGAGACGACTATGTTGCTTTCGTATTCAAAAGACACTTAATTGTGAGATTTTTACTAAACAATTTTACAAAAATGCAACACGTGTTTTCGAGCGTGTCTTTACTAACTATATTCTAAATATTCAATGTTTAATACACCTAATTTTACAATTTGAAGTACCTATGTGTCAAGTACCTACCTAAGTTTGTCATGAATTGAATTACCTGAGCCTATGTCCCAGTTTTCACATTTAAAAAAATATTTAGTAACGGGGAGTTATTCAATTCTAATTGATCATTCAGTAAATTACCTGAATTCCTGACTCTATTGATTTCAAAACATTCTAGAAGATTGAGTTTCAAACTCTTCTCAATGCAACCATTGCCGCATCGCCTCTAATAATGTCTGCCGCAGTAGCAAACGAAACATCAAGTATAAAAACCTGCAAAAACGGCTAATAAACCCGGACATAGAACAATGTGTTAGACACCGGCCGTGCGAAGGCCTTCTTACTTCACTTCACTCCCCTTTACCTTTTTGTGTTGTTATTAATTATTATGAAAACATTATATCTTATATTCCAATTCTCCACTCCGATATCTGGCCCGTAGAAATTATTTGTCGAACGATAGTAATACCTCATCAATTTGTCTCAAAATCTGAGAAATTGCTATTGAATCACGTTTGTATTGAGTACAAGCTATATCATCAAACTAATCAAACGAGAACGTTAACTGTTTTAATTTCTTTATTCATTTGTAAAAGAAAAATTCAAATTATGAAAGTATGTATTTTATTGATAACATATTTGTATATTTTTTCGTCGTCTCAGCTGTATCGATTTTCAACAAAAAAACGTCTATATATATATGATGCTAACTTGCGTCGATATACCGCATCTTAGTGTTTTCAATAGTTGGTATACATGGTAATAGTACAATAATTGTGTACAATGGTACAATAATTGTGTTAGATCACTAGCATCTAGCTAGATACTGTCAGTGATAATCGAGTAGACAAAATATCATTGGCGTGTTATCCACATGTATCAGATCTGAATTTGAACATTTCTGCATTAAGGTCAGTAGCAAACAAAAAAGCACAAGGAGTGAAATTATACGAATTGTGGTTTTGGGTCATGGTCATAATGGAATGGACCGTGTAGATGATCTCTGAAACCTTTTCAGATTCTCAATCCCAGGTTCCAGTGATAGAAAAAGTTATTCATAAGTCAGATGCAAAGCAAATTCTATCAAACCGGCTTCTTTATATATCCTTGGTTTATCTGAAAACAGTGAAAAGAGTGAAACAATTAAAATGTTCTGAAGGATTCTGCAATTTGAAGTTTTCATTGATTAGAAGAGCAACAATTGAACTCTCAAAAAANTCAGCTAGGTACTTCTATTCATCCAACAACTTTCTTGCTTCCCATAATCTTCATCAAGTAAACTAATCCTAAAAGAATAAATGAGAACTCACCAATAATGCTTCAGTACTCCTACATTTAGTACAGTAGTAAATGATCACTTTAGCCATTCATCACCCTTCTCTACCAATTTATATCAACTTTACTGGTGATGCTAGTTGCCATTCGCTATACCAGCAGATATATTTTATCATAACTTTCTAAATTGCTACTCTCTTTGCTGTAAATGCCCTGGGTATGAATTGGGATAATCTGTTGGATAAGTGAAACTACGGGTGAAACGTTTGGAGTTAATCTCTCCATTGGACCACAGCTACCCAGCTCGAATAACGAAAGTTCAAGTTCATTATTAGGTTCTCAGCTGAACCAAAAAACTTGATATAAAAAAAGTCATGAAAAATATCACATTCATTCTACCTAGTTGTAAATGAAATTCATAGAAATATATTTGTAAAAATAGACTCGGGAAGTTGATTCTTCAAAGTTACCGTTCTACGAATTAAATAGTTCATACAAAGTGTAGTCATTATTTGTCATTTAATGTTTTCATAAATGCTATTGAAGACAGCATCTCCAGTGGAACAGTTCTCTTATTTGCAAACGACCTCAAAATATTCTCCAGAATAGATTCTCACAACGACATCCAAAATCTTCAGACCGATCTCAACAGTATTCCAAACCAGTATCATGCAAGTGAAATGATCCTGATCGCTAATAAATGCCACGATTTGTCATTTTATAGATAAAAATCTACACTCATCTTTGATTACATAATCAACAACGTAATCTTTTCGCCAGTTCCCTAAAAAAATAATCTTGAAGTCACTTTAGACACTGCCGTGAGTTTCATATTCATATCACTGTAATCGTTAAAAAAACATTAAAAATCTTGGATTTCATAAAGAAGTTAACATCTGACTTCATCAACATATCCACATTATGAACTTTGTATTGTACGCTAGTTAGGTTACACCTTGAGTATTTCCATGTAATTTGTAATCTTCATTACCACATTCATATTTATAATATTGAACGACTCCACCATCAATTTTACCAACTTCAAGCTAAACACTATTACCAAACAGAGTGAATGCTAAATTTATCATCAGTTCTTGTCAGATGAAAGCAGATACTTTGTCTCCATGATGTAATTATTTACAAATGGAAATGCCCTCCTTATTGTCAAGAACCAACTTTCGAATGCCCATTCCTTAGATAGGATTATCACTGTTTTTATATCTCTTTTCATGGAACTAATTATCGTTATCATAAATATATTACTGGAATACAGAAACTTTGCAAACAATATTGAATTCAACTATGTTTTTTTACGAACTGAATAACATTATCGTTTATCATTTCTCATTGCATTAGTTTGAAGTTTCAAGTGTACTTGTGTGTATATTGGGCTTGTACAGCTAATAGAATCGGTCCATACTTGATGAAAATCCATAAAATACCTATTAAAAATCTGTTAAAATATGTTTTTCCGTTAACTAGCTGTCGTCTATTGTGAGTTTTTCTCTAAACAGTTTTACAAAAAACGCAACATGTGTTTCGTTATGTAATAGCTTCTTCGTAGGCATGTCGCCTGATCTTACGTTTTTGTAAAACTGTTTAGTGAAAATCTCACAATAAGATGTTTCTTCAATATATATTGGGCTTGTACCCGTGAATGAATAAATACAATTTTCTGCACATTTTTCACGTAGCATTATGACGACTCAGTCTTCAGTTAGGTAAATAAAGAAATCCAATGGTTTTACCAATTTACTCAAATAATTCTACTATACAAAATTAATAATGAAAAGCATTTTGAAGCATAATCATAAATATAACAATACTTACTACCCACAAAACCCATATTTTAAATGACATTATAAATTATGCCATTTTTTTCATACAATCAAAGTCATACAAAACAATATTTTTTTGTCATGCAATCAAAGTCATATAAAACAATATATTTTTTGTCGCTTAGTGAAGGAAGGTGAAACATCAATAATATCAAAATGATATTGAGTAGATGGAAGTCTTTCAACTTTTTTTGGGTATATTTGAATTCCCCGAATTGAAGAATTCAAAACCATATTGGAGAACTTTTGCTATCAGAAGAGCTGAGAATTTCATGAGTGCATACACGTTTCATGCACAAAAATCCGTTTCCGTCATCAAATTGCAGGAAACATCTTGATATTCTGCAGTTATTTTCTAAAATTTGCCTCAGTTGTCTGTCGTGGGCTACACCTAGCCGTCGCTCACTTCAATATATATCCAAAACGGTCTCAAAACTCTCAAAAAAATCATTCAATATTCGAAATTAAAATACTTTTACATAATAAAAATTTTCTTTCATATTCACATATTTTGTGTTGAAAAATAATTGATTGAATAATTGAAACTTTATGTTTTTGGCTATTAATACGTACAAAGCAACAAACTTGAATTAGATTCAGAAAAAACTATCTGGTGTATTTTTCAACAAAGTGCATTCACATTTTTCTTTCTCTATACTCTTTGTAGTATACAAGACTTTGTGAGTAGATCTAATAAATAGGCATATTGTTTTTATATAGATGAATTGAACAAAATAAATAAAAGAATAGTAAAATAAGTAGATTAATTGAAATTCTCAATTTTATGTGAAATGAGAATGTTTTTATGATATTGTAAAAATGCAAAAAGTTCTTGTTTTCATATGATCGTAGATATAAGGTTAAATACGAAATACTCACTAAGTGAATACGATAATTTGTAGAAAACAGTTTGGTTTTTCTGTTTATTAATTTGTCTTTTATGACTATTAGAATATTGTTTTTCGTATTCTTCAAAAAATTATGAACATTTCAAAGTATCTGTATGAGGGTGTATTTTTCAAACAAATTGTCACCGACTGATTTCTCCCAAAATATATCCAATAGAAATACTATGTGAAAAAAGGAAGTAGTCCATTGAATGAAACTGCCAATAAATTGTACAGTTTTTCTGAGAATAAGTTCATAATAGATCTTGATAGTCACTTACAAATATCATCGAAATAAGAAATGAGAATGGTTAAAGGAATTCATAATGAATTGAAATTATTTGAAATTCAATGTCTATAGAATCTAAAATACTTGTAGATATACAAGTTAGGCAGTATCTAGATCTGAAGTTATTGTTTATTAGGTAATTGGGTCTTCTTTGACGTATATGTGAGTTTGTTACTGAATGCGCGGTTTCATCGTACTTACCAAGATAAGCTTATTTAGTGGAGGTTTTTTCTCGATAAATTACAAAATATCTTTCATCCTTGATTTTTTTGAGTATCTATTGGAAATATTTTGTTATTTTATATGTATTGATACGTCATAAAGTTCATTGGTTTAGTTATAATATATAAAGGGTATAAGAAAGGATCACAAGTTTTGTTTTTAATGCGGAATAATGAGTATTTACTTGGATATACATATTTATATGATCGATCAATCGATCAAAACATTGCAACTCCACGATTTGTCAATCAATACGTAGAATTGGATCTCCTGGGTAGAATGAATCTAACGAAAATACTTTTCCAGAAACCAGTACTGTTTCTGTTTAAAATCTGTTTTTCCGTTAACCAGCTGTCGCACCCCTACGAACGACAACCCTCAGAAGTCGAAACTTGTGCGAGCTAAGGATTAACGAGTTCTTACCTTTCAACGTGTGATTCCTAACTCATTCAATTCATTTTTTACAAGTTCAACTTTACTTCCTCAATAATAGTTATTATCTCGCTTGAAAATAGTTTAATTGATCTAGTTAGACGTCCGGAGAATGTAGTTTATAGAAAGGTGAACAATGAACAATTTGGAATAGAACTTTGTCACTGTTCATAGTCCTCATGTCATACTTTGCATTAATTGTATGTGCAGAAATGCCGGTACATAAAACAAGACTTAAATTTTTTCAAAAGTCTGGAAATAGCAAAGTGTAAATTGCATGAGAAGTACGAACAAGCCCATTCCAGTCTATCTTAACATTTTTATGAATTGCTTTCTTCAGAATTTCAATACTAATCAAAATGTGTTCTCTGAATTTTAACTGATAATTATTATAGTTATATATTATCTTTCATTGTAAAAAAATAAAACGTGTCCTTGTCAAACGGAAATGTCCTAATTAGTGTTTAGAAATTCGTTCAGATCATCTTCTGCTTCTGTCAAAGTGGTTAGTAAAACGTCCAGAAAACAGTTGTAGTGTGTTGGAAAAGTATACTCGTTGTTGATGCAACTATAATTGAATATTTCTATATCGATTATATACTTCCGGACAATCTTATTAACATTCTCAAATCAATATACAACCTTCAAAAGCCCTCATTCCAATTTGCCTTTATCGTTTGAAATTGCAATATTTTGTCGAATATAAGAGTTGCTGATGATTTATTTATCAGTTGTTTCTTCCTCGTTCTCCTTACGAACCATGTGACCTCTGAACGAAGCCTGGATCTTCACTGCTGCTTTATTCAAATCAGGATCAGTGAGATCGATGTCTGCCAGTTCTTCTTGTTCCTGAAAAATGTTCAAAATTATACCCATTTATCTATACAGGCTGTCCTATGAAAAACCGTTAGTTTTGTTTTGCGTTTTTACGGATACGGGAAATCCATATCCGTATTCGTACATTTTGGTTTGCAGTTTCCACAAGTCCTATATGGGCACTTTACTACAGTTGGGACAACGATATATGTTGGCAAACAAATGAAAACTACTCCGAACAATCTAACTTTTCAATGAATAATTGCTTTTATTGTCCGATGTCTTCGGCTTTATTAGCCGTGGTCAGCAAGTTTTTATACCTGACGTTTCGTCTGCTACTGCGGCAGAAATTATCAAAGGCGATGCGGCAACTATCGAAATGATATAATGGGACTTGGTGTCGGAAAGCCGATTGCTCTCGTAACTGATTGGTCCGACCCTTCTTCAATTATTGGGATAATTTTTGTGTTGTTGATGTCTTGTTAATGTTTGAGCTCTCATCCTTCCTTACATTTTCGAACTCACAATAACGATAGAGTATAGTCTCGGGTCAGCAATGGACCCCAGGGATCCATTAAATGAAAATATATCCAGTAGAAACCAAGACATTTGCCAACAAATAAGTATTCAGTTGAAGGAGATTGTAAAAACATTATTTCTTTGAAGGCGCTATAAATAGATATTCCTTTGAATTATACCGTCAACAGACACACTGCACCAATCAATCAAGACCGACTTCGCTTTTTCCATAGGATGAAAATATTACATTTGTTGGGAGTTTAAAGGTCATGATAGAGAGGTTGTATTCTTCAGTTTACTTCGAAAGCGCGTTGAATAGAAAGCTATACAACATGGAAGCTAGTTGTTCGGGAACCTGAAACAACAGCTCTTTGGAGCCGAAAATATCCACTGGCAAAATGTGTGTGGTTATCGACGAAGAAGTCAAGAATCCTCTTATGAGAACAGTACACTCTTTTTACATAAAAAACGAAATACCTTCATTAAATAAAGTTATGTCAGTTATTCTTGAAAACAGTTTTTTTTAATGATATAAGAAGAACTAGATTTTGGAAGATATAAATATAACAAGAGCTGAACTTCATTTTTGGAAAACAAGATAGGAAGAACATGTTAAAAGAATAATCAGAGATTGTAGAATAAAGAAAAAAGTCAGAACAGAAATCTTTTTTTTATTCGGATTAAACATGGTTCAATGAGGGGCATACCGTCTTAAAGGTTTAGCATGACCAGAACATCAAAAGTGAAAGACAAGCCTCCGTAGAAGATTGGTTCACTGGTTTGAAAATTCCAGTTGGAAAAGGTCGTCGTCTGATCATCATTCACATAGGCAGCGTTGAGGAATTCGTGAAAATGGATTGATGCTGTTTGAATCGAAGAAAAATGAGAATAAGCATCAAGAAATGGATGCCACAGTATTCGAAGAATGCTTTGAAAACATACTTTTAAAACTTCCACAGGGATCCGTTGACATGGAGGTTTTGGATACTAATCTTGCAAATCCTAAAAAACGATCAGGCAAGTCGATTTGTATTGGGAAGGGAGCAGTTTATCCCCATTTACAGCGTCATCACTACAACTCCGGAGCAGAGGGGTGAACAACCCTTGGAATTTGAAGTCACTTACTTTATTCTCATCTTAGCATATGCTCAAAATGGGCACCTCCAGCTTCCATGCAATAATAGAGATTCTGCTGGAATCGTTCTCGAACATTGTGGAGCATTTCTGGAGTGATTTGGCGACATCCATTTGTGATTCGTTGCCGTAAATCATCGAGTGATGCAGGAGGAGTACAGTAAATTCTGCTTTGCAAATGACCCCACAGAAAGAAATCTAACGGAGAAAGGTCTGGTAATCGTGGTGGCCATTCGATAGTGCCCCGCCTTCCAATCCAGTGATCCGGAAAAGTGATCTAAATACTGCCGAACAGGCAGAGCATAGTGCGGAGGAGCTCCATCTTGTTGAAATATTAACAGATCCTCCCGATAATATCAATGTGGTTTTTCCACCGCTCGTTCACTAACCAATTCGCAAAATTGCAAGCGTCGATCGAAATCATCTTTATTCAGTTCTTGCGTTAATTGAATCTTGTAAGTATGCATTTTGTGGGTTTAAAAATAGCAGAATGCTATGTTCCAAGATATTTCAAGCGATGTGCGACTCGCCCCCTATTCCCTATTGAAATTCCAAGGGTTGTTCACCCCTTTGCTTCGGGGTTGAAGTGACGACGCTATGAATGGGAAAAAAACTGTCCCCCTCCCTATAAAAATCGATCTGTCTGAGCGTTTTTTCGGATTTGCAAAATTAGTACCCAAAACCTCCATGTCAAGTTTTCGATGGCCCACCCTGTATAACGCATGTTACCACAGTCGAGAAGCTGCCGACAGTGTTGGAGGAAGGCAGATATTACTGAGTGGTTACAAATGAATCAACTATGTTGAAAGCAGAGCTCCTCAACTTGGCTGAACGTGATAAATCTAAAATTTTCAGGTATGTCACCGATGAGATGGCGAAGACTAAAGGAATGTTGGTTCTTCGGTTGCCCCCCTATCACTTTGAATTGAATCTAATAGAGTTGGTTTGGGCTCAAGTTGAAGGATTCATCGCAAGGAATAACAACAAGATCTTCAAACTATTTGAAGTAAAGAAATGACTATGCAGTGCTCTGGAAACAGTTGACCAAGAAGCTTGGCAAACATTTATCCACAAAACAATCAGAATCGAAGCAGGGATGTGGGATCTGGATGATCGCATAGACTCATTATCAGAAAAAATTATTCCAGTTGTCATCAATCCTAATGAAACTGATTCATCTAGTGAAGAATCACTCAACGAATCCCTGTAGACTTTTTTCA